TTCAAACTCCTACAAAGTACTGCCCAAAGGCAATGAGATTCAAATAAAACAGAGACACAACAGCCTGTGTTTTGGCATATTTAAAGCATTTACTACACTTATATTTCATAGTATAAACACATTAACAACCCCTACAAAACTTTCTTAACTGGTAAAAGTTTGGCCAGTGCCCTCCCACCTGTTTTTTTCCACACATGGGTGCATTCCTCGAAGCTCATTCGAACTATCAACCACACTAATTTATCGAAGATATTTAATATTGAAATTTCAGTGAACGACACCTTTAAGATCCCACAGTTTGATGAACATCCAAAGAAGTGTGACAATATGAAAAACAAGCTGCTGTTATTAAAAAAAACAAAAAAACAACCACCTACTTATTTGCTTGCTGACTCAAATGTATGCTAGAAATACACATTTTCCCATCCTACCTTAATCTCAATGTGTGGTATTGATAATCAGATCATTTCACTGAATGTTAAAAATATGCTAACTTGTGGGCGTAACTTGAATTATACTTAGATGTATGCCTCCGTTTGCAGGTGACAACAGCATGACAGCTCACTTGCTTCAGGAGGACGATCTAAAGATAGTCATATGACATCCAAGTTTGAACTAAACGCGTGATTTGTGTCAATTATTCTACATTTGGATTTAATCAGTACAGAAACTAGATTCCTCTAAATGGAGAAAAAACTCCACACGTGGGTGAACATGAAACTAACCAGCATATAGTTTATGCATGCACAACTTGCAGATGACGTCAGTGCATTTTTTTCCTAGACTGCTTTTACCACTTGGGTCAAAAATGAAAACAGAATAACCACGAGAGTTGTTTCGGTCAACTGTTTATAATCAAAGTTGTTGTAGTCTGACTCATTTTTATTTGAACCATTATATTAAACCATGTGCGCTTTCTTAAATGTCATCAAAAAAGCATAAACGATCTCACTGTTAGTCCAAATCACAAAAGAAAAAAATCAATAGGCTCCAATTTCCTTCAGAAGGACACTATTTTGAGCTCGGCTCTTAAGGCTTTCATAAATGGAAACGCATTTATGTACGACTCACCAATTTAATTACTATTCCTGTCATGGGACTTTTTGCAATACTTCCTGTAGGTACCATCCAAAGGAAGTCTGGCATCTGCTATTGGTAGAATTACATTCTACGAGTTCATGGCAAAGCAGAGTATGGCATAAGAAAGTTTCAAATCAGACCATGAAAATATAAATATATATTTATAATCTGCATTCACTTCATTTAATGGACTGCCAATGAAAGAACACCAGACAAAATATATAATAGAACAATCAGTATAACCCACCAAGCAAAACTAAAAATAATGAACAGATTATAAAGCAACAACAAAAAAAAAAAAATCACAGGTCAAACACAAGAATTCTTTTAAGTGGACATATCTAATGATTTTAGCAAAAAAAAAAAAAAATCATTAGATATCAATAGTGTCACTTAAAGCCACCCCAGTGTTGTGGGGGAAAAGGCCCACAGATGAGATGGAACAAGGAAAATGTCTGGAGTACTGGTTGTCTGTCAAAGCAGGAACTGGGAGGTGTTTGGAGTTGACCTCTAAGGGCAAGGACTTCCCAAAGCCCCTCTGCAAAACAACAGCAGACCCGGCAGCTGACAGTGGGACACAGGCTGCTGCTCTGCTATGCCTGCCTTTAAACCTCACCGACTCCCCTCATCTCTCTTCCTCTCTTCTGCAGCGTGCCATCCACAAGGGAAAAAGTGCACAGCCTTCTAAAAGGGCAGGCGGGAGAAAGAAGACGCAAAAGATATCACCTTGCCGATATGATCTGTCTGGAATGTAGCAGCGCTTTACTGTATTTGAACAAACACGTCTGTGATGTCAGATACAACAACGGACAGATGGGGAGAGTTTAGCAAACAGCAGCTTGATCAGCCAGAGAGCAAGAAAGACAGTTTTTAATGTATGCAGTGTGAGTCACACTGTGCGTGATTAATATAGACAACTTATCACAACACATGTCAATACTGAAAGTATCTATTTAGGAAGAAATTGATTTTCTCTTTTTAAATCTTTTTATGACTTGTAATCTTATGTGCAGCACTTTGTGATTCTGTCTTGAAAGGTGCTATATAAATAAAAATGTATTTATTTATTTATTTATTTATTTAAGAAACGAATGAGGAAGAAGCCAAAGAAGATTTTTTTTTCCTTCTTTACAACAAGCCAAGAAAATCTAGTGCAAACTTTAGTGTTATTATTTGCAATGTATTGATTTTATAATGGGAAGATTGTTTAGTACACAGCAGCGGCACGTAGAAGATTGTTTGCAGCTTCATATAGCAGACATGATTAAGCTCGCTGTCTGACCACGAGTGATGAGTAAAAATTACCTCAGCCGAACTATGCAAGAGGAACTGGGAACACACTGGATTCGTCAGTTGTTTTCATGTTCTTTCTGCTTATTCTGGACGTTGTTCAAAAAAAGCAGCTGGGCCACTCCCACCTCCAGCATTAAAACACTGCCCACCTCTGGAACCTCAATCAGCGCCAAAGAGGAGATAAACTCCAACCAAGTGATTTACATTTAGACCATGACTTTTTTTGGTGGGAAAGAAGTGAAAATTAACCACACGTCTGCAAAGCCACTGTCACATGTTTGAGAGGGGCTGCATTTGTGAAGTGAGGAGCTGTTGTACAGTAAGTAAGTCTTACTGTAGTGATTCACATGTACAATTAGAAAACCTTAAACTATGACTAGTCATTACATTGCATAAACATGCTGTCTCCTGTCTTCTCCACTAGTTGCATCCATGCTTTAACTGGCAGTGTTTTGCTTTGCACATGATTTGCATGTTGGGCCTGCAGTGGTAGTACCAGTTTTTACTCTCGCCCTACACTGGAGCAGATTCTACCCTGCACTAAATGGGCTATGTGGCATATTTTCAGAAATCATCTGTGGAAGGTCGCGGGAGACGATAAATACAATGACCAACTATTTCATCAGCTAACTACTGATTAACAAACACGGGCCTCAGCTGGTTTGGGAAGGGCACGGTGGTACAAATGGTTGAATATTGACAGGGAAGTTGTTATTAAGGATTAAGATATATTTTCATAAATAATCCCCTCTGATTGGCACGACTGAACTGAACATTTTAACATAAAACATGGCAGTTACAGCTCCAAAACAACACATTCCTTTCACCTCTTCTACTGACCGATCAAAGTTGCTACCACGTTCTCAAGCACAGCACACCTCCAGGAATGTCTGGAGTATTGTATCTGAAAATATCCCGCTACATTCACGTAATTGCATCAGATGACAGCAATACTGGTAAATAAATGGCCCTGATTGTCCATATAGCCTGACTTTAAGTGGAAGGAATGTCAGATGGACAGATGATCGCATTCACAAGTCTGCCTGTTCTGGACACTCCATCTCATGACTCTGTTTTCTGGCTGAAACAGTGTTTGTGTAGTTGTTTATAGGTTATTTTTCAGGGTGAGAAGCAGTGTGAGAAGGGCTCCGAGGCTGCTCCCTGCGTTCTTGCTTGCAGTCCATTATGTGGGCTCTATCTTGCCTTGAGAGGTTTTTTTTCTCTCTCTCTCTCTGGTTGTTTATATAGTACTGTAACCAAGCAATTTTTTTCCTCTGTAGTATTGCAGCTGCCTTTCCATACTGTCCATGGTGGTCTCTGTGTAAACATTAGCCAGCTTTAAGTGGAAGACAATGACTAAATGACCGGACAGCATCTGAAGACATTCAAGGATGGATTTCCAGATGAAACAGAGAGATGACATCATGGCAAAATCAGCTAGCAGGAACATGGAGAGGCCTGGTAACGCTACACCATACAAAAACAGTGGACAGCTGTATTTATAGGAGATTGTCTCATGGCTCTATCTGCCTTCATAAATCCTATTATCTGATTTGTAGCCATTCCCCTGCCTAGCATCCAGCAAGAGACCAGCAGCTTTGGCTTATATAGACTTATCAAAGCACTCAAGTGTTGTGACATTAGTTGACTTGGCTAGGATGAAAACTGGTCACATCAGTTGTTGATTAGACATTACCTCATCATATTTGGATAAAACCAAACGACAGTTTGCGTGCATCTCAGCTCTTTAGCCAAAATTATAGACAGCTGTCATCTATTGCACAGGCTTACCTCCATGTTATTATCATAGATCCCAGCGGGTGGCCTTTCATGTAAAATCTGCTGCCATTTCATGTTTTTAGTGGACTCCACATCAAAATTAGGACTATAAGACTAAAGTACAATTTCCAACACCATTTTTTACTAAATGATGTTAGTTTTCTAAAATATTGCAAATTGTCTGCTGTTTACAATACAGAAGCAGTTAAGTGAGGGTTTAATATCAAGTGGACCTTGATGGGATGGTTCAATAAATCCTGCATATAATCAATAATGTAGTGCTCAGTATCCTCTTGTTTTAGTTTGTCTATATCTATGTTAGATGCACACACACACACACACACACACACACACACACACACACACAACTGTACAGTCAGAAAGAGTGAAAAGATCACAGGAAACACAGAATACTGTCTCATCTGTGGGACATGAAGGTTTTAAAACTTTGCCCCTTTACACGCTCTGTTCTGCCTTCAGGCTTACATTACAGAGCACCAAAGATCAGTAATCATTACAAACATTAGTTTGTTCACTGTGCAATCGGATTAAACCCAGCGACCTTTGAAAACCTTTTTGTATTTATTATCATGTTTTGTTGTTGTATATTAGTCGTTTCTTTTATTATGAGGGCGTGATGCTGTAAACTGTCTTCATGAGATCTTTACGAGTTAGAAAAAGGATGCACCGGCTACAAGTAAACTATACGAGTTTGACAGCAGTTAATATCAAATGACATGAACACAAAGAGTCACTTTGGCAGAGTGAGAAAGCAGACAAATCGGGAAACTTCTGTACCGATCAAACTTCTAAACGTAGACAAACTAAACGGAAGTGCATTCACTTACATATCTTCTGAGTTTTTTCTCCGGTGGTGATTTTCTCAGCCAGCCTTGGAAAATGATTTCTCCGCCGCTCATGTTTGTCAGTGTCTGCTGCTTCTTCTCGCTCTGAAACTGCGGTTTGCCACTAGTACATGATGGCTCCTTAGGGCTTGCCTGTTCAAAGTGCTGTCGGGGTTTGGCTCTCCCTGCTGCTGTCTGCTCCCCCCATTTGATAAAAATCAAAGTAGTGATGGTCGCAGATTTAGACAGTCGCTCCCAATGGTACCGTGTAAAACAAGAGGCGTGCAAAACGGTGCGATTCTGCTTTTAGGCAATTACGCACGACCGGCTGACGAAGAGCCGCCGCCAAACTCAACTGATGCAGGGTGAGGAAGTATCATAGGGTGTCTGCAGTTTGTTTTCCTTAGATACCACGCCCACCGTGAATAGAGGGATGGGCTGCACTGGGATGAACAGGATGGGGGAAGATCTGCTACTAAACAGCTCCCCAAGCGACTCCGGATAAAACAATATCAATTTGTCTCTAACACAACGAGCAGATCTAGAAGCGATTTTCTGTTATTTCAAACCCCGTACATTATTTTTCTCTAAATAATTAAAAATAAAAAAAGTTGTATGAGCCCATAATGTGATCCAAGTATAGTTCGATATTATGAAAGACAGAAGGCAGTTTCTTAACTTTCTGCGTTTTGGAAAAACAGATAATATGGATTCAGGTAACAAATTTAACTTGGCAAAAAATTGGCATTTTCACACTAGTTGAAATGGGAAAAGGCACCATCTGGTGGGAAGTTAACATCTTGCTCTTAAAACCAACCTTGTTGGAAAAGTGAACCAGAAAATTAAAAGTAACCAGGTAATGCTTCCCTAGGAAGTATTGCTCATGTCATCAACTATTCCTTGAAAACTAAAATGTATCAATTCAAATTCTGGCAATGAGCAATTCCCATTATAGAAGCAAACACAGAAATAAAAAAAAAATTAAAACAATCCTGAATATTACATTTATTTAATGTTTTCAAGACATACATAACTTTAACACATCCAAAATGCTTGAATTGTTTTTTCACAGAAGACAAGAATGAGAAAATCTTGGGAAAGGAACGACATCTTTTATGTTGTCGACACCAAGAATGCATTGCAAATATCGCTCAAATCCCAGTCCAAAGCCGCCATGAGGGACAGAGCCAAAACGCCTCAAGTCCAGATACCTGCAAAATTCACAAGTGTTTTTAGACTTCTTTTAATGTCCATTAAAATATCATAAATATACAGATGTTTTTACTATTATTACTTTACCAGCTATAGACGTCTTCTAATCCAGCCCTGGAAAAAAGTACAATAATTGACATGAGATCAAGTTCTACAATAAATGTATGATTTCAATGGTTTTGTCCACTGCTGCATGAAAGTGCCACACAAATGCTCCGTATTTTGCACAGTACAATATATTCTTTTTTGTTTACAAACATCTAAATTCCTTTATATAAATTACAAGAGATGTGATTAAAAAGTTACAAGACTCCACCCATAAAAATAGAAAAACAATCATTTATGTAAAGCTGTCTGAACTCACGCATCAAGGTCACCTTCTTGTTAAACTCTGGACCACTTGCAGCACTGCTTCTAATTTCATATTGCTCCCTAGATGGCCTGTTCTGACCACCTGCGCACCCGAATTTCCAACATGAACCTTAAACTTGTGCAAACATCAACTTCCGTGACACAACATTTATGTCAAGGATCCTCATTTGTAATGGTAGCTAGATCTCTGGGTAAGACCCAGCGACCCACAGGAGATTTTAGTGGATGTGCATGCAGTGTCGATGTCTGAAGATGATCTATTAGGTCAGGAGTGTGAGAGCAGGCAAGGTGTTTTTTGATTTATTCCTTTATTTTAATTCATGTGCGAGCTGAATTCCTCCCCCAGGGTCAGAATAGCAATGCAGAGTTCTACAGTAACATCCTGAGATATCTGAGAGAGGAAATCCAGCTAAAATTACTTCAACTTCAATGCCATAATGTACCTTCACATAGTGCAATGAAACATTTTGTTTGGCCACAGAAACGCAGGTGCAGCGATATTCTTGCCAGATTTGCCCCTCTGCAACTTTGTTCTCTTCCCAAAAATGAAATTCAAGTTAAAAGGTCACCATTTTACCATATCAGAGGAGATCCAGCATGCATAAGTATAAAGGGACTGAACACAGACACAACCTTGGACAGGAGATCAATCAAATTTAGATCAGGTATGGTATCTTGATTTTTATGGGCAGAGTCATATAACTTTATGATCAAACTTCAGAAATAGCATCCCTTAAAAGTTTCCTTTCAGTGTAATATCTTTAATGGGCAGTGAGGTAAAACACTAAGCCATGCAAAATAGATGCTAACCCATCTAGTCTGATACAACAAGATGTGTCAGAGACAAGGGAGGGAGGGGGTGAGGGGTGGGGGTACAGAGCATTTTCTTTATTTTAATCAGCCTCCGCAAGACTTAAACTGCACCAGCTGGCCCGGAGTCTCACAGGCAGGATTATGACTGCTCTGAATGCATTCATGAAAAATTCTAAAGCAATTGAGGATAAATTGAAAAATGTAGTCGAAATCTTTTGGCATAAGCCTTCCTATACTCGTGGAGTATGAATTCTTACTCTTCCAGCCGAGCACTCAGCAGATTCAGCCTCTCCTCTCTTAGGGAGCCCCCACAGAGCTCTCCAACTCCTGGCACAAGAAGGTCCACTGCAGCTGCCTGCACAACAGTCAAAATCAGCTCAGATATGCAAATTACTGAAATACCCTAACTGACATTACAAAGAAGGAAATGAGAGGTTAGATCATTCATTCACCCTGTTATACAGTATAACTGACTCTTACTGTACGCTCAGGATGATCCTGGTTGTCTCTTGCATAAAAAGGCTTCAGATCATAAGGATAATCAGTGACAAAGACTGGAATGTTGCCACAGTGTTTCACCAGGTATTTCTCGTGTTCTGTCTTAAGGTCACAGCCCCACTGTAGAAAAGAAGAGCCGTGTGGAATAAACTTATTGTTAGCAAGCAGAGTGTAGAGGAAGAGATCTAGTTTGCAATATCAACATAAAAATGTAATCATTGCCACTCACATCTGTTGGGAAGGCAAATCTCTCTGAACTGCAGCGCAGGATGTCTATAGCTTCTCTGTAGGTAATCCTTAGAAAAGACACCAAATATTCCTTCAACTTTTGTCTCCATATTATTTATGTCATCCACTTTTTAAATGTGATATACAGAAAAGGAATAGACTTACACAGGAAAGCTATTCTTTATCATAGCATCTACAGTGTCCTTGAGATATATGAATGCAAGAGGAAACACATAAGTTGAGCTAATAATGAAGTCAGACAGAGTAATGGCTGGAGCCAGGTTATGTCCCCAAGTGTCCTTCAGGACTTACCCTGTGCCCAGGAGTCACATGCTTGTGAAACAAATCCACATCCTCCACACAGTGAGCCAATACATGCTCTGTGGCAAATCTGAACATGTCCTCCATAACCTAAGGAGCAGGCCAAGTTTAATAATTAAAGCTTTCCCAGGCAACTGTGCACAAGGGCAACTTTAAAAGTCACATGGGGAATTTGCAAAATTTGAAGTTCAGTACACAGAAATTATATGATGACATCAGTTCAGTTTATTTTAGATGCTTTTCTAATCTTACTGATCACACAGAACACTTAATACTACAAGCCACAATTAACCACACATGCATACAGCGGTTTATTTTGTACCATTTCAACACTTTATTTACCTCAAATCACAACCACTAACCTAGCAAGCATGGCTTTAGACTTTGGCCTAATATAGGACGCAAACTTTCAAACAAAAACTGACAAACAGAACAGCAGACATCTGTGAATTTGAGATAAGGGAAGCCGAATTAATCTATAACCAGTACAGAAATATGTAGTATAGAATAAAAAGTTAACAGGTTATTCAATGTCCTGTTTGACTGACAAATAGCATTTTGTATCTGAGGTCGAATACAGATCAAATATGACATAGCTAACCTTAGTGAGATCCTCTAAGGACTGTGTGAAGGAGATCTCTGCCTCTACCATGTAAAACTCAGCCAGGTGGCGTCTGCTTTGGGAGTTCTCTGCACGGAAAGTTGGCCCAAATGTATAGACTTTAGAAAAAGCCCTAGAAGAGTATGAGTTATAAGTAGAAACATACTTTAGTGTACATAGCTGAATACAACTGATATGAATATGTAAGCTTTAGAATGTGCAGAAATTGATAAAGTAAAATGAAAGTAAAAAAACAATACGATTAGGCACTTAACATCCAATAGTTATCTGACAACAACGTAAAGTAAGTTGATTTCTCCTGTAATTTGTCAACTTTCTGTAGTTTACCTCACCCTGACACCACTTCCAAATGAAGTTGTCCAGACACGGTCAAGTAGGCTGGTACAGAGAAAAAGTTCTCTCCATCTGCATAATCTGGGCCTGATGGCTGTGTTAAAAGCGGGGATTTCAAGTTTTCAAACAGTGTCATAAATCTGCTCAGACTAAAGCACGGGGCTTTAACTTTAAAAAAACAGAGCTGTTAGTGTGTTTAGATGCTCACCTCCACCTGAAAGAGCTCCCCTGCCCCTTCGCAGTCATTTGAGGTGATGATTGGAGTGTTAATCTCTACAAAGCCATTGTCCTGGAGGAAAAAAGGTAAACAATTAAAAAACAAAACAAAAAAAAACCTCTTGCTCCTCATTTTTTATGAAACTCCTCCACTGATGTTCTCACCTTGAAATATGAGTGAATTGCTGCAGTGGCCTCACTTCGTATCCTCAACAGGGAGCTAAAAGCATTTGTTCTGCACCTGAGATGAGGAAATTGGCGAATATACTCAAGGCCATGTCGCTCTTTGATTTTAAAGGGAAAGTCCTTAAAAAGAAGAATATAAAACAAAATACAATAAAACTGTGATTCCTATAGCAACCATTTAAACAGTTACAAAATGTGTATGAGAAATTTGTTCTTACCACAGGGTTGCATTCTCCAACTACATTGATTTGCTTAGCATCAAGTTCAACTGGTTGTTTTTGGTGTGGACTTTTCTTAAGAATGCCCGTGACTTCAACAGCACTACCAAATGTGAGCAACCTAAATTTGTGAGAAAAACAAAGAATATTCTAAGCATGCACTTTTCATGTCAGAAACTCTGTGGCAAAGAATTGTCTATAGGGAGTAATGCCAAAATGCTTACGGATCACTCAGCTCTGAACTTGCGACAACCTGCAATGACTGCAAGGAGCTCCCATCATTCACATGGAGAAAGACATTGGCTTTCTGAGCTCTAACCGAGCGAACCCATCCCTAAAACAAAGACACAGAACAA